AACTTTCTACACATTAAGTGCAATCCTGATCCTGTTATAACTGTATGTGTATGCGTTTATGACTTTGTGTAAATGAACTGATTAGGAAACGTCGAAAATGCCCGGTTGCTGCATGCCCGGTTGTGTCATGGAGCCAAAATGGCGGCCAGTTCGCGGTACTTTGTTAATCTAATGACTTTACAGTACTGCTAACGATGCCTCTGGGGAATCGGGCAAAATCCCAGAGTATCTAGCCTTATCCATGCATGCGGGGCTCGGCGGACCTTGTTCGGACCCTAGCTTCCTGGGATCAGAATGGATCGATTCAAAGATCTTCAAATTGACGACGGCAGTAACCAAGGGACATAGCGGGCACTGAGTGGAGGGGCAGCAATCGCGCCGCAAGCTGCAAGAACGGGCCTGCACGGGCTTGGAATGTGATGCGGTTGCTGCGGAGGAAAGCATGACTCCCGTTTCGGAACGGGTCCATTACGGGCTCGGAAAGCAACGAAACGATGAAGGTGGGCGACGTTGAGCGCCCCTCCTCCTAAGAGAAATATGCAGCGGAGCATAAAAACGGAAGGCCAAGAGAGACAGGAAGAAGACTCCCGAAGGGCAGGCTCCATGTCTCTCGGTGGTTTCCACGACGCCAGTGAAGGAAGAAAAAGGACTCACCGGTAAATAGCGCCGGGCGGGCTCTGATCCAATCTCCCCTTCGGTAAAGAAAATTATCAAAAAGCCTAGAGCCCAGGCAACTGGAACCTTCGCAGCAATGGTTGAATCTTTGACGAGGTTGTTCTGAAGAAGTATACCCGGTTGTTCTGAAGAAGTACACCCGAAAGGGGATCACTTTTTTCGGGGGGGCGGTACTAGCGGAGATGGAAGGGTTCCGAGAGGATCCCCTATCCAGATTTGTAGGGCCGGCTACCCTCAAAAACAGGACAGTCATAATTAGAGGTGAGGACGCGGCATCCCCTCGGATGGCTGGATAATCGGTTTTTAGGGAACATATCGTGTCCTAAGAGGATGCCAAGCTCAGGGTGGTGGGCCTGAAGGAGCTCCAAAGGAGGCACAGGGCGGTGGTCAGGGTTCTGGGACCTCCGAGACCTGCGGTTGCAATCCTGGCGCTGCTGGAAAGGCAGAATCCGGGAGTCGGCGCCCTGAACTGGCGCGTTTTTAACGAAAACGTAAGTACCTCCCCTGATGGGAGAAACTTCGTTTTCGGAATTTTAAAGTCCAGCTTTATTAGGTTGAAGGAGCGGGACTTCAGAATCTGCTATAGGATTGAGTAGATCACAGTTAAGATGACCCGAGCCTATAACGAGGAATCGGGCTAGGTGGAGCCTCGATCGAAAGAGTAGTCCAGGTAGATGGACTGGTCGGTGATCGAGGTTACCCAGCTTAACTTGCACCACAGCAAAGGAGCCTCAGCGGTTCTAGCCAGGCGTCAGTCTGTGGATGCACATCCATTTTCCATCAAGAATCATGGTCAAGAACCATGGATCGTCCGTGGCTGTGTCAGGGATGTAGCAGCACACGCTGCCACATCCCTGACACAATATAAAATATCTGCGAAATTGTTGAATAATATTTATATACACAAAACCATAAAAGACTAAATATACTTACATATTTTCAACAAATTTTTTCGTCAAATTATAAGATATGCGATTAATATCGCACACAGTTATTGCGGGAAAAGGATAATTCCAGATACCATGATGTGTTGATTCAATGACTGTTAAAGTAGGATGGGTAGCGTAGTAATTCCAAGCCATTCTTATTAAAACAGTGGCACATCCTAATGACACAAATACTGTTATCGCCCAAATAATTCTGTAATAAATAATTGTTAATGTATCATACAGGGTCTTCAAAAAGTCCAGAAACGCTAAAACATGTCGAAAACGATCAACTCTAGCGAAAAATACGTAAGAGCAAAGTTGTAGGACTTCAAAAAGTCTACCTAACTGATGATAAAAATTTGACCTTGAGTGGAGTCTGCAAGGTCATATAAAGTTGAATTTTTTAAATAGGATCCTCCTCTTTTTGTCACATATTCTCACAGCTTATTTCAAGAACAATATATATGTATTTATTATCAAGGCTTTCTTTAAACAAGCAATTAAAGTTAATTTATATAATTGTTACATCCAGGAAACTTTTTCCACGATTCTTTTCTTTTTGTAAAACATTTGGCAAGAATAACCTTTCCGCCGTGCAAATAATAAGTCATAGATAATAGGCAATAATAATGAAAATTTTATATATATCTTCTATATAGATCTTTTTATTCCAATCCAAGTGGTTTAATTCTTCTTTAAAAGAATTATATTACAATTAATTTAAACACAATTCAATCAAACACATTTATTCCTCCAACAATGAAGAGTTAATTAATACTATTTTGATAAATATACTAAAAAAATATTAAAAATAAGAAAAAGTTTCAGTTACATAACGACTTGAAAAATTATCTGTGTATTTGTATTATATATACATAATTCATTTATAAATTTACATTCAAAATTACAACATATTAGAAAGTTTATACATACCGCTCTATTTTAGAACGTTTTGTTTGACTGATGTATTTATATCCATGTAATCCAGTATTATTGCAAAATTCGATGGCTTGTTTTTTTAAAATATTCCAACATTTAGCGTTTGCAATTAATACTTTATATGGAATTTGTAATCTACTTGATTTCATATTCAACTCGATTATAAACGATCTTAATGTTACAAATTGCAATTATCAATTATGCGCGGGAGAATAAGTAAAAAGATGTGTAACGTTTTCTTGTCACAAAGACGTTAGCGTGTTAACTGCTATATATATTGAACAGGGTAAATAGCAAAAGCATATAATATGCAACAACATATGCGACGTGACATAAAAAATTTATTCGACTTTTCATTGATTGGCGCATGATAATTTCTACTTTCCTAGTCGCGATTTTATCCATGTGTAATTAATTATTAACTGATGAAAATGTTAAAACACTTCTAATGCATACATTACAGATTATCGTGCACTTGTCATTATTGTTTTTTTGAATTGGAATACTTTGTTTACACATATTTTATGATAATAAAACATTTACCTGATATCAATGAATATTAGCGATAACGTAGTATCAGAGAAAGGATAAAGATGTATATTTTGAGTGCTATTAAATGGTACCATTAAAGTATATATAAAAATATATAATTTATATGACATTAACTTTATATAGTTTATCCTTCTGCAGAAGAAATTTATTATTTCTTTTTTATCTAGAGCGATCCGATTCAATCTTGCCACATAATTATTTTCAATCTAGTAATTATTTAAAATTGTATTGCGGATCAAAGTTAATTTTTTGCAAAAAGAGCATTCTATATAGCCAATGCAATTCTACAACTACTTCTAAGATTTCAGAAAAGGTTATCTTTTTTCTTTTATTTCTTCAAATTAAAATATTTCTCATTTAAATTTATAATGTAATTAAAAAAACTTATTAAGAATGTTACATGGTATTCCTCCTCTCGAGGAATAGTCCAGGGAATGGAAGTAACTCGTTACTTGTAACGAAGTTACAGTTACAAGTTACTTTTTTGGTAAAAATTACTGGTAAAACTGCTTTACTTTCTTTTTTTGGTAACTGTAACGGGGTAACGTAGTAACATTTTTTGTATAACGGTAACGAAATTTACAGTTTTATCGTTACTTTGCATACGATTGGACACGTTATTCCGTTATACAATAATTACATGTTATTAATTACAACTATAAATGTGGTTGTAGGACATTGAATGTTTTTATTTAATACAGGCGTACAAGCTACATTTAGTTTAACTTAATCTAAACATTGTACACATTTTATTCTAATTGAGCTGTGTAAAAAGCTTTACTCAGTACATTTCTGCGTACATATACACGTTGAGCAATTGGAAAACACCCCTTTTTGCAAAACTTCTGTTTCAATTATATCGTTATAATTTTCTTTCTATCAAAATATTAAAAAAAATGTTTAAAAAATATTTTTTCAAATATTTTTTTTATTGTTGTATTATAGTATTATAATAAAGATATTATGAACGTATTTTGCAGGCAACGTTATTCTAAAATTACGATTTATATTGGACCGTCGATAGTCTGCGACCCCTCCTTGTAAGAAGGAATACCAGGCTAAACCTTTACAACAAACTATTACTATACAAGCAAATTTTTTAAAGCCAGTATGGACCTACGGGATTCAACTTTGTTGTTTTTAAAGCCGATATGACCTACGGGAGTTGTTTCAAGAAAAGTAATATCAACATTATTCAAACCTTCTAGAACAAAATACTGAGGAGCATCGTGAATGCTCCTTGGTACAGGGAATGGAAGTAACTCGTTACTTGTAACGAAGTTACAGTTACAAGTTACTTTTTTGGTAACTTTACTGGTAACTGCGTTACTTTCTTTTTTTGGTAACTGTAACTGTAACGAGTTACTTTTAAAAAGCGATAACTGTAACTGTAACTAGTTACTTTTAAAAAGTAACTTTCCATTCCCTGCCTTGGTATATGCATAAACGACACTATCCATCGAGATCTCTAGATACTGTCAAAAAAGAAATTGTTAAAAAAAATAGCTAGACATTTAAATAGAATCCACAAGTATGCAAACATAGAAACGTTCCTTCTTCTTGATAACTCCAAGGAACTCCACAACGCCTCAAGAGATTGAAACCGCTTGACCTGAGCTAATATGTGTTAAGGCAACCAGCTTGAGAAGATTTGTTATACATATACTGGAACTCATTATTAAACGATCTTCCAATACACAGTAAACGAATCAGCGAGATAATGCTACTAGATAGGCAGTAAAATTTAACCGTAATATCTACAATTCTTAATAAATTATTATTACGAAGGGTTAAAATAAACTAGTACAGCACCTTCGTCCATTCTAATTGTTATATAATAATCTCTTAATCGAAAAAAATATTTTTTCGTATTAAATTGTGAAGTATATAAATTTGCAGTGTTGATATACTGAAAGACGTGAACGATTTATTCGTATCCGTTTTAATACAGATCGTCTTGCAAATGATGTTCACTTTCTGCACTTTTCTTTGCATACAACCCCCCTAACAAGGTTTACAGTAAGATACGCTAAAATTCTCGCCGTCAATGATGCGGTATTGATAATTTTTGTAGGTGGTAAAATCTATATCTCGCATTTGAAAAACGTGATCCATAACCTTCTTGATTACTGGCGGAAAGCCTGCCACATTCGCAACAGTTGCAAGCTGGTCGTAGTAAGCCCACTGCCTGTCCTTTAACTTGTTAATGTGTCTCAGCTAAGGGCAAAGAAAAAAAAATTATAATTCAATGTGATCTCTTTAGTTTAGAATAAAGTTCTATATATAGATAACCAGAGAGGCGCGACCACTCTGTTAAGAGTCTTGATTAGCCATTGCGATGGCCAATTATGAGATTGATTCTTTGGTATTACAAATAGTCTGCTGAATAGACGATTAGCCGATTTCATAATCCGTTTGCGAACAACGTATTTTTAATATTAGGGGGCGGTTACATTAAAAGCCGCTATTCATGTTTACATGGCTCTAGCTGCGTATACTGTGACGTCTATTACTTATGTCATTTTGAAGTGTGAACATTTCCAACTAAAATTTAGTCAACAGACGCCATCTTTGTTAACACATGTGCTTTTCTATAATTAAATTAAAATGGAACGCGATAAGTTATTTTCCCGATGTGTACATTTACACTATTTTGATTTGAAAAAAAGTGCAGCTGAAATCATCAATTGCTTGCGGAAACTTATGGTGAATCTGCTCCATCGGAAGCAGTATGTAGAGACTGATTTTGACGATTCAAAAGTAATGATTCCACAGTCACAAAGCAATGCTCTGTATTTAATGAGATATGGAAAATGTCGTGTATATTATGAGCTGTTGAAACCGAACGAAACAATCACCGCTGGAGCGTTATCGACAACAATTGGAGAGTTTGAATGATAATTTGATGCAAAAACGATCATCAATTGCATCAAATCGTCGAAAGGAATATCACTCTTTCGTCACGGAATTCAACTTCTGCCAGAAAAGTGGTAAAAAGTCATAGTTTTCGAAGAAAAATACTTTGATGGAGGTATTCATATATTTTATTATTAAAATAAATTCTCAAATACAAAAAAAACAGCAGCTTTTAATGCAACCCCCTAAGACTTTTCCTAATGCGGACGAGTTTTTTAATTTATCGATTGTCAATCGCATTATGCACAAAAGTGCAATCTTGTTTCATAAAAAGTGTATTATTGCGTATAATGCGATTGATCAATAAATGATAGATAAAAAATTCGCTCTAAAAATTGATTGTTAATCACATACCAGAATACCTTGGTCCAACAGAGATTTTTTCTCGATTTCGTACTCTTCGCGCATCTGTTGCGACGACGGTAACTTGATACGTTCTTCGAGGATTCCAAGAATATACTGTGCTTGAATATGAAACATTGGAAACGGTATCACCAACGCGGGCAATCCCATGAAGAATAGACTTGTGTAGTCCATATGTACTAGATGCTTGTAGATGGGCTCGACGTGGTCGTTGTCTGTACGTATCTCGACTTTAGCAGACATAAAGGGATACGTAAATTCGTAACCTGAGAAGAAGTTATTATGAAACTATTTACCATGAATCATTAAGAAAGTTTAACTGAAATGCTGATATTCATTACCGGTGCAGTATATAAAATCGTCCACTTCTACTGTTGATCCGTCGCGGAAGGTGAAGGTGTTTCCCTGGATGGACTCTACACCGGACTTTTGCTCGATATTGTTCGATATTTTTGAGTTGAGTTGTTCCGACAGATTATGACTCAGATATATCTGAAATTATCGAGGGAACTAAAGGATTAATAAAGAGATTGCGTGATATCGTTAGGATCAAGGCTGTGCAAACGGTCTTTGGGACTTTTCATACAGCTTTTCGTATAGCTCGTAAAAAAAGCTTTGAATGGTTTAAAAAAAATATATAAGAAAACAGAATATTTAAAATTTAAATAATGGATATCCACTACTATTTATTTTTTCGACCATTCAAAATAAAATTAAATTTTACATTAACAACAATAATAGTTCCACAAATAAAAAAGTTAAAAATAAAAAATGTTTTACAACTTCTCGTATCAGAAAAATTTATATCAATTGTCAACGGGTTTAACTGTAAAATAGCCTTGACTAATCCTAATACATTAAAAAATGTAATAAAAGGAGAGAAAGATAAGCTGGAACCTTTATACAATCAAAACGTTGTTTACAGGATTTTTTGTGATAATTGTGATGTAGGTCAAATGAAGAGATAGTTAAAGACAAGACTGCATGAGCACGTTTCAGATATTAATAAAAAACAAAATCTTTATCGGTGATTTCCAACCACCGTATTGAGGAGAATCATAATTTCAAATGGAATAAGGTGGATATTTTAAATATCGAGCTTTCATATAATAAGAGATTAATATCTGAAATAGTGCATATTTGAAATTATGATTCTCCTCAACACGATGGTTGAAAATCAGCGATAAAGATTTTGTTTTCTATTAATAAGTATCTGAAACGTGCTCATGCAGTCTTGTCTTTAATTATCACTTCGTTTGGATTACGTAATTAACATCACAAAAAAAACAGAAACATGGAATTAATAAACAAACTGATATGGATTCATTGCCTGAAATGTATTCTAACATTATACATTCTCTTTCCTCTTCCTAGTATTCTCCTTATTTCCCTTCCTGTCAACATGTATTCTTGGTTTTTGTTTTCCTTCCTGATATTACGTTATGGTATCTTTATTAATAATATATCAGTTACTTTTCATGGTAATATATTATTATTAGATAAAAAGGTTTAAATTTTTGAGTATCCTTTTTTGAACATGGCTTGAACTTTTCATCTTTATGATATGATTTTTTCGGATATCCCTTACTTTTTAGAGTACAAATATATTACAAATATATAAAAAATGATTTAAAAATATTATATAACGAAAGAAAGTGAAATACGGCGAAAGAGAGGGGTGGTGGGGAGGAGTGAGGGGTTGCGGTCGGTCGAAAATGGTGAAGATGTGAGTGAAAGATAAGAGGGGATATTAAAAAGTTTTGATACAGCCTTTGAATGTGAATAGAGAAGAAGAAGAAGAAGAAGAAGAAGGAGACGTTTCTTAATTTTTCATTAAAATCATCACTTTTCGACCGCTTATATCTCTAGAACGGCTTGACCGATTAAACATTTTTTTGGCTCAAATTACTCGTGGGGATGCCGCCTTTCAGGATATATAACGTTCGATTCAAAATTTTTTATATTTTAGTAGTTATGCTCACCCGAAAAATGGACTTTGGTGGCTCGGGATAAGAGACTTGTAGTGTCTTCCAGTTTTTGAACATGGCCGGAGACACTACCGCGTTTCCTGACTGACATCGTCGAGACCACTTGATTTTCACTTCTTTTGCAATCCTGCTCCGACTAATTTTTTAAAAAATAACTACTGTGTATTACCGCGATGAACTTTTTGCGTACTTTTTATCCATTGAATCTCGCAACATTTTATTTGATAAAGTACATTAATTTATATATATACATATATATACTATATATAATACTATATACATATATATATATATACATATATACGTTTAACGAAATTAGAATATCATTTGCATATGTAAATTAAATTGGAATAGAAATTAATTTAAATAGAAATAATAGATAATTTAAATAAAAAAAAGCTTAAAACACAATGCGAGGGAATAGCGATAACAACAGAAATAATACGATTTTAATCTATCAGAAATCGGATACATCGGAATATACCATATAGTTTCTAATCTAGAGACCGAAATCGTAATTCTATCGCTATTGCTATTTCCTTGCATTATATATGTCTGAAGTTTAAAACTTCAGGATTTCTTAGCACTGGAGGCCATGATACTGTGAATCTCCCGTTTGCACGACCCTGGTTAGGATTATGTGATAGAAATACATTTTATAATTAGAATTACTCTGTCATTGCTATGCGGTTTTTTTACGATTGATATTTTACGACATACGCGATTATGTAGTCAATAATATAATTTTAAGATAACGAGTTCTATAATTTTTAAACTTCAAATAATGAATTTGATAATTAAAAAAAACTGTTCGTTTTCGCAAGTTGTGCTCATTTTTAATCAGCATGAAAAAACTATAATATATTAAAATTTGATCCATTGATCGAAATTCAGTTTTTTTGTAAGATATGTCTGAGTTCTTTTCATACTGATAATACTGTCGGGACATTGCCGTAGGAGAGTGAAAGTATGACTTTACATTTACCAAAGATGATAATTAATAACACAGGAATTTATACGCACCTTATCAGCATATTGAGAGACTTCCATGGCGATATCAATGCCAGACCAGGACGCGCCGAGTATGCAAACCTTTTTGCCGGTATAGACCTCTGGTATTCTGTACTGATGGCTGTGAATACATCTACCGCAAAAGCTTTCGATACCTGGTATATGCGGAATACGACCAATAGTGTAATGACCGTTGCACAGCACTACGGCGTCGAAGATGTTTGTGATTTCTGTTTTGGTCTCCAATGACTCATACGTCACCATCCATAAGGTTCGGCCGTTTCTCAAAACTTTTGGTTCTACGCGCTTCACTAGGGTATTCAACTGAAAACAAATGTGATCCAAAATAAAAACATGACAAAAAACGAAAAAGTACAATAGAATCAATAATTTTAATAAGATTGTTCCATCGTCTTTCTTATATGAAAACAAAATCTTCAAACAGCACAGGAAAAATATTTTAATTAAAGTAATAGTACAAGGCTTAGTTAGAATAATAATTAAAAACTACACCAGAAGGTTTATCGGGTTATCGCCGTGTCTTTCTTCATTATTAATGCCAACGTTTCGTGATCCACATGCGCCGTTCACTTCATCACGGCGAGGGGTACGCTGATATTTGCTGATGAAATGATCGGTATGATTCACGTTGAAAAAAGACACGGCGATAATCCGCAAACCTTCTGGTATAATTGAAGAAAATACTCGTGAAAGCTTCAAAAGCGTAATAACTAAAAACTAATAAAATAATGATCTATAAACCAGTCGAGATAGATGTAATGTGTGTGTATGTGTTAAATTATTAAATCAATAAAATTTATTTTTTATTACGCGTGCACGTAATGTGCCCTATACCTCAACGCTTTTGCGTGCGGGAAATAGCCAATACCTCGAGCCGTTGAGTTATTTCTCTAACCCCACTCTTCTGCGCAAAAACATTTCGGTATTATAGGCACATTACGACGAGCACTTGTAATGAAATAGTACAATGTGTAACATGTGTGTTAAAGTTGTTTATTGTGCGACGCGGGCGCGGGAGCGCCGCACGAGCGAAGCGAGTGCGCTATATCCCCCGCGCCCGCGCCGCGCTATAGGCAAGTATAGCACATAAGTTGCACATAGATTTTTTCATCACTGTGTTAGTAATATGTTATACAATTAAAGTCGCACGAGCGAAGCGAGACTTATGGGATGGTGCGTGGCGGGCGCAGGAAACAGGGGGGGGGGG